GAGGCTGCGCCGCCCTGTGAAAAGAGAGGCCTGTCCGGAGAGGGCCAGGCCTGGGCTTCGAACCCCACGTCTCCGATGACTGCACCAGGAATCGGATGCTCGTCCACGCGGGGAGCCCCGGGGAATTCTGGAACCCTCGAGATTTGATGTTCAGTGCACAGTGTGTGTGTCTGTGTGTGTCTGCTGTGGTTGTGTCTGTGTGTGTCTGCTGTGTGTTGTGTCTGTGTGTGTCTGCTGTGGTTGTGTCTGTGTGTGTCTGCTGTGGTTGTGTCTGTGTGTGTCTGCTGTGTGTTGTGTCTGTGTGTAATGTGTCTGTATGTCAGCATTTGCATTTGTGTGTCTGAGTGTGGGTATATCTGTATACATGCACACACACACACACACACTGTCAGGGAATATGGTCCATGGCTTCATCAGATTCTCAGAGAAATCCTGAACACCACTGCTCTTCTCAGTGATGTGGCAAACACTCTGGCATCCTGCCCTCAACAGAAAAACAAAAAGATTTCATAAAATCTCGTTAATTACTACTCCAAATAAGTCACAGGGTTCAACCAGGTCACATCTCCGTTTATCACAGTGGTGTGAACTGTACGGAGAAAACATCACCTCCGCAGACCACACAGCACACCGGACACGTCTACCAAAGCGCCCGGGGAGCCAGGAGCAGCAGCTTGTGGGCTGGAAATGAGCTAAGAGGAGGACAAGCCCCGCTCACATGCAGGGGAGAAGTGTTGGGGGAATGTGAAGCTGCTCCCCAGATTCCAAAATCCACTAAGTTGCTTCACTGTGGGGCCCAAGACCCCCAGCCCCGCTGATTCCAGGGTCCTCTGTCTGCAGAGCTGTGGCTGGGCTGACCACTCCACAGGATAGAGCTCCCAGACTCTAGCACTGAACACCAAAAGACTTCAGTAAGCAAAGTCAGGCCTGCCAGCAGGTAAAGCGTGAGTGCCATCACTGGGTTTTCATGTTAGTACTAAGATCGTGGTTAAGGCATTTGGCTGCCAACCAAAAAGTCAGTGGTTTGAATCCACCAGCTGCTTTGTGGAAAAAAGAGGAGGAAAATGTAAAACACACTGGCCTATCATTCTCATAGTGACAAGAACAGAGCCAAGGATGGTCACATGACCGAAACACTGGAACTTTGTCTCCCTTTCCCAGTGGGATTTGATCCCCGTGAGGAGTTAGGTAGGAGCCGTGTCAGCCACCTTACCCTATAATGTAGCCTACTAGAGAGTGAAGCCAATGCACAGAAGAGCAGGGCTGCTAGAAAGGACCCTGGGTCCTGGTGATATTGTTTGAGCCCCTGGATCAAACTGGACCTGAAGCCCACTCAACTTATTTGATACGTGAACCAGTCTTACAGTGACCCTGTAGGACAGAGCAGAACTACCCGTGGGGTTTCCAAGGCTACAAATCTTTATAGAAGCAGATTGCCACGTCTTTCCCCTGTGGAGCAGCTGGTGGGTTCAAACCACTGAACTTCTGGTTACCAGCCAAGAGCTTAACCAATGTGCCACCAGGGCTCCTTATACGAATCAATATGTGGTAAAGTTGTGTGTCAACTTGGCCGGGCCTGGTTGAGTGGCTGGGCAGCTGAACATAGTTATTCCCCAGGATGAGACTGGTAGTCAACTCCATGGGGGAATCTGCAGTGAGCAGCTGAGTAGCTGCCTTTGAGATATGGTCTGCTTCCAGCGTATAAAGAGAAGCTTTGCCAAAGGTCTCTGAGCTTTTTGACATCGTTGGATCCTGCGTGTAGCTGGATCTTCATTCAGCAGCCTGCCATGTTGCCTGTCAATCTTGAGACTGTTTCTGGACTTGAACTCGTCGCCTGCCCTGTTGCTTAATGACCTTGGGATTGTGCCATTTTACTTGTCAACTTTGGGTTTGTCAGCCTCAGCAGCCAGCAGCTGCCTGAGTTAAGAGAAGCCTCCAGCTTCACTGGGCCAGGAGCAAGAGGCAGAGCTGAAGCCCAAGTTCAAGGGGCCTTCACCCAGCCCCTCAAGCTGGCACTTTGAACTCCTACTCTTAGCCTCCTAAACTATAAGAGAATAAACTCCTGTTGCGTGGAGCGACTCAGGCTCGCCTCCGTGGCTTGGCGCCCGAGAGTGACAGCCAGAGACCTGTTCGCGTGGCCCTTATCCTGCCAGCACCCGGGGCTGGGCCAGGCCTGCAGTGCCAGTTGGAACTGAATCCACTTTGGCTCCTATCACTTACCAGGCCCGGTGCTGACTTCACAAACCTGATCCCCACAACCATCCTGGGAGGAGTCTTGACTCATCACCCCGTTTTACAGTTGAGAAAACTGAGGCCTGTTAGACTGTTTGTTAAAGCCACACTTTTGTGTTATTTCTGTTAAAGCAGCACTAGAGAACCCAAACACAATACGGATCCTTTTTCTTAGGTCCTATTTGAGTTAGATTTACTGTTTCTTGGAGCAGATGAACTCCAGATGTTGGTGACAAAGATGCCAGGTTTTCAGCTAGTGTACACAGCCTGTGCTTTCTCATAATAAAATAATCACACCTTTGTTCCATCACATCAAACATGGAAAAGCAAAGAGTCATTAAATAAACAAAAAAGAAAGAAAACACCAAAATGGATGTCAGAAGAGGCTCTAAAACTTTCTGTTAAACAGAGTAGCTAAATTGAAGAAATGACTAAATAAAAGAGCTGAACATATTTCAAAGGGTGGCTCAAGAAGACAAAATAAAGCATTAAAATTAAACGTGCAAAGACCTGCAGGTAGAAAACTGTGGTGGTTATGTTTTTGTGTCAACTTGGCTAGGCCTGGTTGAGTGGCTGGGCAGCTGGATGTAGTATTCCCCATGAGGAGACTGGTAATGAACTCCATGGTGGAATCTACTGGGAGCAGCTGAGTAGCTGTTTTGGGTATGTGTTCTGCTTCCCATAATATAAGCAGCAGCTTTGGGGATGGTCTCTAGCCTGTGGCACGCTTGAACCCTGCATGTAGCCATGTTGTTGTTCAGCAGCCTGCCATGCTCTGCCAACCTTGGGACTTACGATGAACTTGAATTAATGGCCTGCCATGTGGTTTGGTAATATCGGGACTGTGCCTCTTTACTTGTCAACCTTGGGGCTTGTCAGCCTCAGCAGCCAGAAGCTGTCTGAGTGAAGAAACGCCTCCAACTCCAGTGGGCTGGGAGCAGGAGGCAGAGCTGGACCCCAAGGTTGAGGGGCTTTCACCCAGCCCCTAGAGCCTGGCACTTTGAACCTGGACTGAAAGCCCCCAACTTGTAAGAATAAACTCCTGTTTGTTAAGGCCATCCCATTTGTGGTACATATTCCTGTCGGAGCGGCACTAGGGAACCAGAACAAAAACTAACAGAGAAGAACAAACTCAGCATTTCCCAAGCTGAAAGAACTGAAGAAAAAATGTAAGCCTCAAGTTGCAATATTAAAGATTCTACAGACAAAATATAACATAAAGAAAACGAAAATCCTCACAAATGGACCAATAAGCAGTATCATGGTAAATGGAGGAAGGATTGAAGTCGTCAAAAGATTTCGTATTACTTGGTTCCACAATCAACACCTATGGAAGCAGCTGTCAAGGCATCAGATGACATATTGCACTGGGCAAATCTGCTCCAAAAGACCTCTTTAAAGTGCTGAAGAGCAAAGACGTCTCCTTGAAGACTAAGGTGCGCCTAACCCAAGCCATGGTATTTTCAATTGCCTCATATCCATGAAAAGCTGGACAGTGAATAAGGAAGACAGAAGAGAGTTGATGCTTTTGAGTGTTGGCAAAGAATACCAAAAGTAGCATGGACCGCCAGAAGAAGGAAAAAAATCTGTCCCGGAAGAACTGCAGCTGGAACGCTCCTTAGTAACAAGAATGAGACTGTCTCACCTACTTTTGTCATGCTGTCAGAAGGAACCATTCCCTGGAGAAGGATGTCATGGTTGGTAAAGTGGAGGATCAACGAAAAGGGGAAGGCCCTCAACAAGATGGATTGACACAACGGCTGCAATGATGGGCTCAGGTATAGCAAGGATTGTGGGGCTGGTATAGGACCGGGCGGGGCTTCATTCTGCTGTACATAGGGTTGCTATGAGTCGAAGCCAACTTGACAGCATCTCACAACAATAGGCAAAATATTGACCAATGCAGGAAGCATCAAAAGAAGACGGAAGGGAGGTAGATACGCTCTTAGAGCGATCAATCGTAGGAGAACAGAAGGGCAGTGTGCGCACAGGGGACAGCTCAGGGGACAGGAATGCATAGGAAAGAAGGACACAGGGAAGAGGTAACTACAGGGAGGAAGTGGGAAGAGAGCTGTTATATTATGGGGAACTACAGTCAATGTCTTGCCTGCTAACCAGACGGCTGGCGGTTCAAACCCACCAGCCACTCCTCAGAAGGAAGGTTGGGCAATCCTACTTCCGTAGTGATACTGCCTCGGAAACCCAAGGAGGGGTAGCTATGAGTCGGGGCGACTCGACGGCACATAACAACAACAACAACAACAGTCAATGTCATGAAACAAAATGAACGGCTGTATGGAAAATGAATTTGCTCTGTAGACTTTCACCCAAATCACAATAAAAATTAAAGAAAGAAGATGGAAGGAATACACAGTCACTGTACCAAAAAGATTTTGTTGACATTCAACCATTCCAGGAGGTAGTATATGATCAAGAACGGATGGTACTGAAGGGAGTCCAAGCTGCACTGAAAGCACTGGTGAAAAACAAAGCTGCAGGAAATTTCAACAAACGGATGCAACGTTGAAGCACCCACTCGCCTATGCCAAGAAAGTTAGAAGGCAGTTACCTGGCCCACCGACCAGAAGAGATCCATATTATGCCCATTCCAAAGAATGGTGATCCAACAGAATGTGTAAATTATTGAACAATAGTAATATCACACACAAGTAAAATTTTGCTGAGTTTTATTGAAAAAAACCATTGCAGCAATATACGGACAGGAAACTGCCAGAAATTCAAGCTGGACTCTGAACAAAGGTCTGGTTATGTACTTCCAGTTCCACTCTGACACACATGCGGCCAGGAGTCGGAATCGATTCCACGGCAACCAGTGCAACTGGTAAATTTGGTGACGCACTCAAAAGGATCAGAGAAATCCCTCCTCAAACAAACACACTCCGGGTCCGCAAATCCTCAAAGTGTGGTCAGTGCAGGCGCAGCAGGTCTGCCACGCCGGCGCATCTGGGCCTCGGCTTCCCCTTCTGGCTCTGGCAGCGTGCGACGCCGGAACCCCTGCTTCGCAGCATTCCCCAGGCCAGGGGCAGCCTCACGGTAAATTACGGTAAGGGAAGCCTGAGCTTCCCGTCTCGGGCGCGCGTGCGCAAACTCCAGCAGCGCAAGCCCACAAGCGCGGCCAGACGCACGCTCTTCTAACACGCGCACGCAGGCACGCGCCCCTCCGAGCTGCGATCTCCGTCTCCGCTCAGGTACGCGCGCACGCGCGCACGCGTACTCGTGCAGTTCTCCTCGGACGTGCACGCCTTCCTGGCTCCAGTCTCGGGCTCCGGCTTCCGGCTCTCGCCCCCGAGCTTGGCGTCCCGCGGCTGGGCGGCGCCAGCGGGTGGTGGGCGGGGACGGCGGAGTGCTCGAGCAGGAGGCGGGAGGGCGGGCCCCGCTGGGC